TTTTTTTTTAAACAAATTATAACAAAAATTTGCTCCAGCTTTTGCTGAAAGGTAAATAAAAGCTCTGCGTACATTTTTAGCGCATAATCTCAAAAATGCCAAATTTTGAGTTGTGACTTTTGAAGACGGTGTGCGATATGTATTTCATAGGTATCATCATTCTTATTTTTCCAGTGAAAGCTATATATTTCGCATCTAAAAATATTCGGAACATTCTTTGAAAACAAATGATCCGAATTTTGAAATTTAACTCTGTCAGCAAGAAAATTAAAAATCTACAAAGCTTTAGAGCTTTTCTATTGTGGCTGGTGATACTTTTGTCTCCAGAATGTGATCGAATAGATCAAATACATAAATAATTAATGTATAGAATTGATTTAAATAAATACCAAAGAATTTCTGAATTCTTTGTAACTACATATTACACTGTGGAACACAAAAAAAAACCAAGAGTGCGTATATATCAGGTTTGATAGCTGTTGGCCATACGAACAATGCATGTACAATGCCTCATACAGCTCAACCTAATATTACCGGCGTGAGTTTTTCTACGCACGCATGCAAGTTTTTCACATTCAGTTTTCATTTCAGTTTAACGGAAATCAATTTGGGTGCGTTGCATTTCTGTCAAATTTACAGAAGTTTGTTGAGCAAAATTTGAATTCACAGTCGCGCCAAAATGTCAAATGAGCACAAACGTCAAATCGAAATGTCACGCAACACAAATCTTGGAATTTGAGTTAGCTTTTTACGCACGCCGTTCAATTTCGGTTGGTCCCATAGAGGTTGTATGTGCATGAGATATTTTTGACAGTAAACCGCCGGCGTGCGTGAATACTAGGTTGGCCTGATATTCAGTAGAGTCCGACCGATTGTGCGGCTTCGGTTTGCCGCCATCGGCAATATTTCCATATGTGGTTGAATGCTCGGCCGAAGTTTTTGCCGAAGCCGAATCTTTTTGCTATCTAGATTTTTTTGAATATGTATTATAATTAAAATGTATGCATTTATTTTGAATAATCTGTTAAAAAAAAGTGGTATTGTAACCCTTTCTTAAAATCAGCTGCCAGCTGAGAACTTCGGAATTTAAAATTGCGATTAAGGAATATACATAGAATTTTTCGAGGTGCCTGATATTTTTCAATATTGGAATACTAGCTCTCTAGAGTTACTTAAAGCAGTTGCTGAAAATTATCTTTGTGCTCCATCCACCAGCGACCACAGAACAAACTCTTGGCGAGAACGCAAAAAACAGCGGTCGCCCCACGTCAGGCAATGGTAAACCTCCGAATGTATTTCTGCATAGAAAAAGCTTCTGATAAAATTCAATTGGCGTCACAAATTAGAGGAGAAGCTTGGCCGAACACTTAGTAAAAGTGTAAGCGCCAAACACTAACATATTGTTTAAGCGCCAATCTTTTATTATTATTCATATAAACAAAGATATTTGCTGAACGGTGACTACAATTTTTTTGTAAATACACTAGATATAAATACGTCTCTATGTATTTTGTATTTTATGTACACGTAAAGAGGTAAGATGGAGCTTATCCTTTAAAAAAATCGATTTACTTAAATTTAAACGAAATGTGACACTGAAGATGGCACAACGCCGAAACCGGTTTGTCTCCAAACCAAATTTGACAAGGGATGACGGAAAATCGTTCCACATTACATCATAAATCATGGGCTTCGGCTTCGGTAATCGGCCGAATGTTAGATCAAAACCAAAAGTTCGGTTCGGCTTTGGTTTTGGCCGAAAAATCTACCTCCGTTCGGACTCTAATATTCAGATTTGCTATATCAATTCGTGTTTTCGGGGAAAAAAAGCTTTCATGTTCCAAAAATCTGAGTACAGCGGCCAAATTTTTTTCTCAAGATTTTTAAAAACTTATAATTTTGTTGGCCTGTATTTTGTGAAAATAGCATATAAAGCAAATATAGACCAAATCAAATTTCAAATTTGGAGAAAAAAAATTGGCTCTATACTCAGATTTTTGGATCATTAATTTTTTTTTCGAAAACTCGGATTGATCTAGTAAAACTGAGTGTGAGGCATTGCACGTATGGCCATCAGCTATCAAACCTGATATATGCGCACTATAGATTTTTGTTAAAGCTCATTTTTGTCTCACAGTGTTATTAAATGAATTTTCATGCCAGATTTTATTTTGTGGTAAAATATATGCACCTACATTTGTTTTCATTAGTAATTAGATTGTAACTGGTGGTACAGGTCTTTGTAACTGGTATAAAGTATGTATGAAGTAAAAGTTTCCATAGCTACAGGTTACTTCCGAAATAGGAATATGTAATGGAATTTTAAAATGTATGTCGTTTTCCCCTTTTAGTTTTCCCTTTATTAATTTACTATTAAAGATAGCTGATTCCTTATATTTTATTTTCAGTTGATAGCGTTTTATATATGGTTAAAATAGTTCGAGTCATCAGCGATTCCATGGTAGGATAAATGCATAAAAAATCTTCCTCGATCTCACAGTTAAGAGGTTAAACTTTAAACCAGACTAGTCAGCGTCAGAGTAGTCGCGTTAATATAATTTTACCTCTTGAATTGTTTATAAAAAGACGCCATTCATTGCGCTGGTATTCCAAAATGCCCATTTTCAGAATAAGGCCATTTGAACAAAAAAAAAAAATACAAATTTTCGTCATCACTTTTGTACCTGACGCCAACCAACTCCTTCTTCCAAATAGTAGATTCATTCTTCATTCGACCCAAATCTCCTGCCGCCAAACCATTTCATTAGGTTTGGAAACAGGAAATAGTCGCTTGGGGCTAAATCTGAAGAATATAGAGGATAGGGTAGGAGTTCGTAGCACAGTTGATGGAGCAATTTGTTCGCCGGCGACGGTCGCAAACGACTCGCCGGCGAACTCGCCGTCGGATGAAAAGATCACTTCGCCGGCGGGCCGCAAAAACGACTCGCCGGCGAGTCGCAGAAACAAGTCGCCGGCGAGTCGCAAAAACGACTTACCGGCAGGTCGCAAAAACGACTCGCCGGCGGGTCGCAAAAACGACTTCCAAGAACGCAAGAACGATATACCAGCGAACTGCAAAACGACGCTCAAAGTTGCTAGAAAATTAAAAACATTTTTTTTTTTTAGTTTAAAATAGTTTATTTAATTCATTGAATTTTTTGAAAGTTTTTTAAATATATATAAATACTTAAATATTAATAAAAAAGAAAAATAAGGTAAACATTCAGTCATAAAATATAAACAAACATTTTAATATATTTTAATATAATATAAGTTTTAACAATTAATTTTTT